TATGTCCAATCCCAGGAGACAACCCTCAATCATTTATAATCATTTGGTTCAACCTACAAATAAATGCTGCATCATTCATGTAGGTTTGCCAGATTGGCAACCCAAAGAATTGGTTTGTCTTTCCATCTCATGATGCAGTGAGAGATGCGGTTAGTGAGCTGGGGCAGAAAGCAGCCCATGCCCACAGTGGGAACCTGTGCCCTTACCAGAGGCATCAGAGCCAGTGGAGAGCAGGATCCTGTAAACCACCCAGAGAACTTCTGTTATAGTGCAGCCTATAAACCAGCCTTCCCCAACCTTGTGCCTTCAAGATGTTTTCAACCACAACACCCATCATCACTGACTTGTAGCTACGCTGCCTGTGGTTGATGGGAGTTGTAACCCACAGCTTCCAGAGGGCATCAGGTTGGGGAAGGCGACAAGAAACAGAATAAAAGGCCTTGCTCACATGGACCCTGCTGTCAGAGGGAGATACAGAGCACTTCTGGTCAGTTAGCAGCTGTGTGCCTTAAGGACACTGATCCAGCAGCCTTCTGCCTCTAACTGCCTTATGCCATCTTCTTTTACAGTTATGAGGCTGCCTCAGACTCTGGCTGCATACACCCCATTCTTTTAAAGCACATTTCCCTGCCCAAAGAATCCTGAGAACCGTAGCTTACTCCTTATAGGGCTAAGTTCCTAGCACTCTTAACAGACCACACTTCCCAAGATTCTTTCGGGGAGGAAATATGCTTTAAATATATGGTGTATACAGAACCGCAGTCCCAACTCAGTGGCAGCAGTCAAGTACGCCTTGCTGGGCACATCTGCCTTTGCATCAGAACCCTCAAAGCAGCAATGGCTAGCCTGGGCTGTCCAGGTGGTCTTGCCTTCCAACTTCTTTCAGCCCCAGCTAGCATGGCCAAAAGCCAGGAATGATGGGGAAAGACAGGTGCAAGTGAGCCACCCCTGATTTAAAGGAAATCCTTCAGACTGCCAGAATTAAAATTTTAGAGGAATTAAAAAAATCTACATACATACGCTTCTTTCAATTATTTTGTCTGAACTAGTTTTCAGTAAGTGTGTGTGTGTGTACACACACAGAGATATTCCACACACAGATATTCCTGGACAGCAGAATCCTCTGTAAATAGAAAATTTTAAAATGCAAAATACTTGTATCAAAATAACTAAGGTATTTTGGGACATCCCCAACACCTAGGATTTTGTTTGTTTTTGTTTTGGGATGTGCGTGGCCCCTTTTAAGGTGTGATTCAGTGTTGTTTTTTACCTATTTGGGAAGTTGACCTTTTTGCTTTTTCTTGAGTGGGTTGTTTTGTTTTGCCTATTTGTGGGGTCTGTACTCAATTTCTTAAACAAGCTATGGGAATTTGTGACTAGGCACAAAAGAGCCAATATGTGCTAGTGTCCATGATAGTTAGCCAAACATTTCCCTGGTCTTGAAAGGTTTGGGGGCATTGAAAATATTGCTGCACTGAGGCTTCTAGAATTGATCTAATCTCACTGGATGATGTGATTTTACTTTTAGAACTAGAGCTCCTGGCCACTAGGTGGCCATAACTTTCCACAGAAACAGCAACATTTCAAGAGAATATGTTTGTTAAGGTTTTGTTTATGCCACACAGTAGTCATTTTGTGTTTTCACAGTACAGAAATGAATTCTTATTTTCAAGTCACCTAGTTCTTATGTTAAAAGGTCTATGCAGAAAATCTGTTGCATTTGTGCCAAATGTCAGTTTCTGGCAATAAAATCATGAAGCAAACATAATGAAGGCAGAGAAGAGGCCTGGATGCAGTAGGATGAAGAAGTTGTGAACCTATTCCTTTCCCTAACTTTTTAAATAAGAAAACCAGTCTAATGTAAAGGTTAGTGTATCAAATTAAGACCAGAAAGGACCAGATCCAAATCCCCACTGAGCCATGAAGCTTATTGGATGACCTTAGGGTTAGTCCCTAATTCTTAGCCTAACCTACCTTTGTAAAGATATAGGAGAGAAACATGTACATCTCTGAGCTCCTTAGAGAAAGGGTGGAATAAAAGAATATGAACAAACATAAATGAACTTTCAATGGATAAAAGAATTAAATAAAGCATTGGCAAGTAAGCATATATCAATGTGTCCAAACTGTGAAAAGCAGATTTTTCTATGGCAGAATGCATGTTCAACTGCCATGCCCACTCATACTTCCTATATCCTCCCCTTTCTTGCTTAAGAGTGGCATTGCTAATCTTGTCCATAATGGCCACCATTGCTTCTTATGCCAGCTGAGCACAGCAATCGCAAAAATGATTGTAAAGCAAAAATGCTAGCCCTGAGTACCATAGACATAGTCCATTTTTTTATATACCTTGTTTCTACAAATGCATCTTTCCTCAACTTGTGCAATGGTAATGCCAATACATGGGTGGAAAAAAATCACTGAGACAGCATGGCTAGATACAGAATTTAAATTACTTTGACACACAGTCAGCATGCAATAGACTGAAAACACTGTGTGTGTGTGTGTGTGTGTGTGTGTGTTACTACGCTGATACCCACACTGGACAACTGGACAACTGACTTGACATGTTGGCACACAAAGCTTTCTACCATGATTGGTGACAATGCAGTGATGAGAAAGCAATTTGCATTCAGCCTTACCTCTTTTTTTCCTATTTCAAGATAGACCACAAATCAGGGGTGCAATTCTTTCCCATGCCTTCTTTTGATTTAAGCCATTGTAGCTATTACCACAATGTATTTAGGAATTACTGTACACTGCAATCCTAAACATGGAAATCCTATTGATTTGTATGGTGCTAGCTCCCAAATAAATGGGAACTGGATTGCAGCCTTAATCTCTCTCTTTTTTAAAAAAAGGCAACGTGTATTCTGTTCTTGAAAATTAGAGCACACAAAGAATATGTCTGATTCTAGTCTTGGTTATTTAATTGATAATGGTGCTGAATGTAAATAACAGAATTTACACTGGTATGATAAGAACTAAAAGAGCTCCTGTAACCTTCTGCAACTTTGTGCATATTAGAGTTGCACACACTGCTTAAATATTTTCTGGGCTACACTAAAATTTAATTTGGGATGTCAGGATTTCTTTACTCTCCATAAAATAATGGAGACACAATCAAATATTTCATCAGGGAATTCAAACCACTGTCCCAGATCTTCATAAATACTGTATTGTCTAAAATGACTTATCTCAGTTGCAACTTGGGCTCAGATTTATTGTACAGTTCATCAACTTCTCAGCATGCTGGATAATGAATGTTTCATTTACATTGCTAATTGACAAGCCATGGTTCCTTCAACCTTTAACCCTTAAGATGTATCACAGTATCACCATATGTCAATATAATTGCGTTTAACTTTGCAGATTTAAAGAACGGGACAAAACAAAAGCTTTAGTAGCTGCACATGAATATAGTTACATAGAAAGCCATCAAAAGGATAATAATAAATGTAGATGTGGACTTACACAATGGCAAAATCAGCAATCTAAGAAATCTAAGAAAAATATTCTCATGTTCTCTCTTAGTGTGTCAATACAATTTCGAAAATAAAATCTTAAACTAGGATATTCTCATGCAAACTGTATTATATGGACTAAAATCACTTCCTCGTGCTTACTGGAGGCATATTCTCAGTCAAATATTAGAATATACACTTTACAGGGAAAATTGTTGCATGCTTAAAATTTGTGTCCTTGAGAGCAGCAAGAGGTTGTAATATCGTATCACAGAAGATGATGCATCAAAGATCAGGGTGGTGCCCAGCAATTGCCCCTCACACGCCAGTAATGGTTAGAAATCCTGTGGGCCTATGCCTTCAAGTTTATTCCAGACCTATCTATGTGTAGACGGAACAGTATGAGAATGGTTATCTTAAGATAAGGCTTCAGATAGCACTTGGAGTAACAAATCCTTGGATGTTATCCATGCTGACTTACTGCCAAGTATTAGTATTTCAGTCTGGTGAGAAACTCATGTGTCACTTGAACACAAGCTGTGGTTTATGTAACCCCAACCGTTATTTTGGTGGGAATGGACCCCAGAGATATATAAGCCACATCAGATGGAGAGAACCTCTGTGCAGGCTTGACCACAGAAAGTGCTACATGTTGGCCACAGTTCCATCTCCATCTTCAGGGGTCGTGCTTGTTACTGAAAGAGTTCCCAGCAACCAAAGAACAAGGGAGCATAAGATAAGGCTTTGTAGCTTTTTTTGAGCTATTTAATAAAATATTTAGCCTTCACCCCATTTGTGAGTTCATTGTTTTCTGAATCTTTTTTAAAAAATCATTTCTCCTTTGGCAATATAGAGGTGCACCTAGGGCCACTTTTGCCACTAATAAAGTGTGTGTATTTGGCAGATGTGAACATCCAGAGGTGTGTATAAGACTTCAATCTCTATCAAATATGCTGATATAGATGTCGTGTGTACCATGTACTACAGGACCTAGACAAAAAGATCATGAGTGTCCCAAGATGTTTTAAGGACCTCCTACCTTTCAAATTAAAAACTTTTATGGTGGAAGTATCTTAATGAACATGAGGAAGTTCAATTCCTTTCTAGAATTGACGGCTACTTTGGCCAATAGCAATGAGAAGGTCAATGTGTGCACAGCAAATAAACAGAATAAAAAAGATGGCCTTGCAGACTGGTGAAATTAAAACAAAAAAAGAAGAGTAATAACTGTTAATTCATGAACTTGCTTTGGCTACTAATAGGAATGCCAGAAATTAAAATTTTCATGTTTCAAGTAAAAATATTAAATTAACTGCAAGATGACAATGAGCTATCAATTCGCTATCAATTCTAGGATAAACTCCCCAAAGAGAGGGAAAGTCACTATAGTAAATTCAACGGTGGAGCAGTCTTCTCCCTCGGCAGGTTGTGGACTCTCCTTCCCTGGAGGTTTTTAAGCAGAGGTTGAATCGGCATCTGTCATGGTGCTTTAGCTGAGATTTCTGCATTGCAGGGGGCGGACTAGATGACCTTTGAGTCCCTTCCAACTCTACAATTCTATGAAACCAGGATCAATTTTTTTCTACCTATTTCATAGAATCATAGAATCATAGAGTTGGAAGAGACCACAAGGGCCATCGAGTCCAACCCCCTGCCAAGCAGGAAACACCATCAGAGCACTCCTGACATATGGTTGTCAAGCCTCTGCTTAAAGACCTCCAAAGAAGGAGACTCCACCACACTCCTTGGCAGCAAATTCCACTGTCGAACAGCTCTTACTGTCAGGAAGTTCTTCCTAATGTTTAGAGTGCGGTGCTGATAATGCTGAGGTCTCAGGTTTGATCCCCATACGGGACAGATGCATATTCCTGCACTGCAGGGGTTTGGATCCTTCTGCTCCCTTCCAACTCTACAATTCTATGACTCTATGATTCAATATAAGACAGCTTCCTATGTTCCTATGTTCCTGCAGTATCTCAAGAAGGTAGTGACTACTTAATGTAGACATAACCGCGATACCTTACACAGCAGTGGGGGAAATGATTCAGTCTACAGCAGAATATCTCAGTTCTTAATACTTTCAAAATAGTTAATCAGTGGAAACATCTTAGATTTTTCATCAGAATTTGTGTAAGGCAAATATACTGGTTTCCCCTCTATTGGCAAGTAGACAAATTGCTTTTGTATTCTCAGCCACAGTTGAGCAGCCTTACTCTAGCAGCTGACAAACACAAATTTGTGTTGCTGCAGCTAAAGAAACACCCTATGACATGAAAGTTGTGCAAAAGCTTTTGGGCCAGTAAAACATGCCACAAGTAACTGAGAGCAGTATAGCACGTGTGTAGCACAGGGGTGGGGAATATCAAGCCTGTGGGCCAAATTTAAGTCTTCCAGACCTCCTTTTCTGTGGGCTGTAACCAAGCAAGAGCCAGCTACCCTACACTTGACACCATATAAGATGTCAAGTGTGGGACACAGCTAGATCACAAGGGCCTTGCAAGCACCACCAATGCATCAGTGGATCCAGCACCCCACTCCTGGTGGAGTGGATCGAGTATTACTTTGTTACCCAAGAGGCAGAAGTAGCTTCAATCCATAGATAGAGCTGAAAAAGACTTGTCTCAAACCCTGAATAGCTGCTGTCAGTCAATGCTGAAAATGGTGAACGTGTGTTTTTTTAAGGAAGCCTCCCTGTTTTCCTCACCCTCCAAAAGCCAATGTAAGCTGCATCAGAGCTCTGAGGGATGCTAATTAGTGCTAATATATGTGTGCTGGGCACTGAGCTAGATCCCTGAACCAGTCCCAAGGAAATAGGATTCTCAGTGGATTGAGGTATAAACATTTTAAGCTATTTTCTCCCCCAAAATTCTGATTCCAAGCATTGAACTCAGGGTCAACAGCAATGCACAGCGGCAAGAGGCAACATGAAGCTAGTCGCTACAGGGAGCAATTTAAAGTGACTTTCTCTTGGCAGCTGTTTGTGCATATTGGCCTGAAGATACTAAGATTACCAGCAACCTTAAACCACCTCAAGTGAACCAATATTGTTTTCCCCTGGCCACCCAATAGGTATCTGAAATGAGGAAGCCATCTCCCCAGAACCCATCACTGGGAAATGAGTACTCTGAAACTTCTTGATTTACATTCAAAGGGAGCTGTTTTTGCTTGAGAGGAACAGAAAGATATGAAAAGCTTTTAACAACATACATCAAACTGTGCATTTGATGATATGAGTTAGATATATGCATATTTCAGTTGTCCATTTCCAGCTGCTTTTGTGGCATCAAACTTTTTTATGTTAACAGATCACATTATTATCACATTTAGAGAAGAGTAATGGCATAGGGTGTTGATACATCATTGGCAGCACAGAGTGCTATTTGAAAACATGCTTGTTCTTTGCATTTCTAATAGTGGGCCAGAGATACACTTGGGTTTTAGCATTAAGTTATTGCTTGCTAATAATAAAATGATTTAGCCCAAGAAATGAGCATAGGCTTCATAGAAAATGACTCATACCTTGAAAATTCTTAAAGCAGTCCTCTCTCAATGGACTAGAATGAACCAATATGGGACCAGGAAAGATGTGGGAAAGATACATGAGAGACTCAACACTCAAATAAATATATATATGGTTGTATTCAATGAAATTGTCTTCTTTGTACAAGGACTACTGCTTGCACAACAGAACTTCCCCTCCCCCTTTTGTCCCCACTTGCCTCCTTCGTCCCAAATCTGCTCCAGGGGGTTGGGGAAAACCCAGAACAGATTGGATGAGGTGCATGGAGGAAGAGAGGGCAGGGAAGCTCCATTGTGCAAGCAGAACTCCTTGTGTGAATGGAATGACTTGTAGGATATGACCCATAAACTCAATTTTCCATGTGCCTATCTTTACAAAGCTGAGAATGCTCACTGGGCATGGAATACTGGTGGACTGTTGTGGGTAAAGGCGTATGCAGGAGGTGTCACTGTTTCTGCCTGCAGCAGGAAACATGAGAGGGAGGAGTGAGAAGCAAAGAAGGGGAAGGGCCACAAGCAGCTGGGTTTTTAAAATGGTCACAGTTTCTTACTTGCAACTTCACTGAGTTTGGCTACAATAATGCAGGGAAGCACACAGAGTATATGAAAGCCTGCCTGCTGACAGAAGAGCCCCAACCTGTATGCAAGCAACCTGGGGCTTTGAGGCGGCATAAGACAACCTATGGCCACCTTGTGTTATGCCAATCAACAGATTGGCTTATGAGTCCAGGCCCCACAAAATCCCTTATGTTGACTTTCTGTGGTGACGTATGTGCTGAGGGTCCACCCCCAAGTGCCAGAGTCAGTTGTGTGACCAATAACACTGTGAAGAACAAGACGCATTTTTTGGTAAAGGGAAGGCAAAGGCCCCAGGTCTCAGCAGTCAAGCAACGAAACATAAAAATTCTTCCTGGCCCTGTCCACAAGGATCCACAGCAAACCATACTGTGTACAGACCAAACAGTTATCATACTGGTTGAGAGAAAGGGAAGGCAGTAAGAACACTGAGCCCAGCTCAGACAACCTCCCCTACAATCTGCCCTGGCCAGCCCCACCCCCAACTAATCCATACTGAAGCAACCAACCAAAGAGCATCAGCACAGCAAGTTAATTCATCCTTACCCTTACCAGTGCCAGGACACAATGGTGGCCCTGTCAAGGGGCAGAAACATGACTTCCTTTCCCTACATATAATAGGTCAAGAAGTTAATGTAACAAAATGGAATAGAGGTTGGTTACCTTTGCTTCAAGAAATATTATTGTATGAAGAATTGTACATACAGTACCATGGTCATAATGCAAATATTAGAGCAGCTTTAGACATGAGCCTCGATACAAGGCTGCCACCCAAAATGGCAGCTCTAAATCAAGGCTTCTCCCCTTTCCCCATGACAACAACAGTGCAATTCCATACATGGCTGCTCTGAAGTAAAACACATTAAGTTCAAGGGGGGCTTAGTATTCCAAGGCAAATGGGTACAGATTGCAGCCTTAGTTAAGAAATAGCCATATACACTTGAATGAATATTATAGGGTGGAATTCCACACTAGGCTATATCAGCTTGCCCAGCTGATACCCCACCTCCCATGTGCTCTTTTGGAGATTCAAATTTGAACTTAAACATTTCAAATTTGAATTTTGAATGTGAAATCCTACCTCAAAATTTGGGTGCTTTAGACTTTTTGGAATATCTTAATTGCTTTGATTTTGGCAGAAATATGAAGTCTCAAAATCTGCCAATTTAAATAACACTGCATGCCAACAATCAAATATCGTCCAATAATGAAATAAACGATTTCAAGGTGTTCAACGTAGATACCGTATTCAATGGATAGTTGAAAATTATTCAAATATTTAAAAAACTCTACAGGATAACTTTGAGAATTCTGAGAAGTAAATTCATTTCATCTTAGACAATAGAGTCTAACCCTTATCCACAGTCATAAATGAAGCATGATGCTGTATTACTCAGTTGCTTCAATCTGAACCCATCTTTTTATCTTTTACTTTTTAGTAATTACTTGTAATGGAAGCAGATAATTAAGAAATGTTCAAGTTCAAGCATCAGAAACCAGCACCACAAAATTTGTTGAACCTGAACAGATATGTTATTGTTATTTCAGACATGAGTTTTAATATTTCCTAGGGTATCAACAGTATCATAACTATCCTCCGAAGTAATCCACTTTATTGCTTAAACTTGTGAGGAGAGGGTATTCAGTAATGGATCTTTGGCTGCCCCATTTGTTCTTAGAAGGTGATTATTTAACTAGGAATATATCTGGGAAGATGAACTCATGGCATACTTCCTGCTGTACAATAGCTACATCATGAAGTCACCTACAGGCAAAGATTATCTGATGCTTTAAAAAGTATGATTTGTTTATGTGTGCAATGTTTTCAACATCTAAAAATATGATATATTTTCTTTTATAAAGAACTCAATTAAAATAATATATAAATATATACACACTGCAAATGTAGTAAAGATAACAAATTCATTTAAGCCCATTTAGGCACATTAGTAACACACCATGTGGCAGAAAGACTAGGACTACAAGAAGACCCCTTGGCGCTTTATTTTATATTAAATCCCTAATGGCCTCTCCTTATCTTTGCAAAAATATGCACACAAGTCCAGACTATGCAACCATTGAAGTGAATGGTTATTTATTTGCTAAACAAGAGCCCTATGTTTAATGTTCCTTAGACGTAAGGTACCCTGCCAAAGTCTCATTCCTACAGCTCCATACATCATTTATTTTACCCTAACTCCTCAGAAAAGGCACCGGGGGGGGGGGGGAGAGAGAGAGAGCTCACAAGTTAGTCAGAATTTTGTTTCAAATGCCATTACTAAAAGATTAAACAGCAGCGTATTTACTTGGTTTGCTGGCGTCATCTCTAAAATGCCATGTGAAAGTTTGTACAATAGAAGCAACATTTTAAATCATGTAATCCAAAGTTACACAAGGGGAAGCATATGTGAGTCTCCAAATTATGGTAACGGCTGAGTGCTGGGCAGTATACCTAGCACTACCTAAGGTAAAAAGTAAAAGGCAAAGGACCCCTGGACAGTTAAGTCCAGTCAAAGGCCACTATGGGGTGCGGTGCTCATCTTGCTTTTCAGGCCAAGGGAGCCGGCGTTTGTCCACAGACAACTTTCCGGGTCATGTGGCCAGCAAGACTAAACTGCTTCTGGTACAACGGGACACCGTGACGAGTGCCAGAGTGCACAGAAACACCGTTTACCTTCCCGTAGCAGTGGTACCTATTTATCTACTTGCACTTTGATGTGCTTTTGAACTGCTATGTTGGCAGGAGCAGGGACCGAACAACGGGAGCTCACCCCATCGTGGGGATTCAAACTGCCAACCTTCTGATCGGCAAGTCCTAGGCTCTGTGATTTAACCCAGAGCGCCACCCGCGTCCCTATAAGGGGGTTAGGAGTCTCCTAACAACTCTCAGCACCCTTACCAAACTGCAGCTCCCAGAATTCTTTGGGAGAAGCTATGACGGTTTAAAGTGGTATCACTGCTTTAAATGTATGGCATAAATGTGGTTTTAGAATAGAAGAATACCTCTAACCCTTGATTAGTATGCATCCTTACACTAAATGGGTTTCTTAATGTTAGATGAGTGGAAGCTGGAAGTAAATAATACAAATTACAATATTTTTCAGTAACCCACAAGTTTGTGCCTCAGTTCATTTGAATGGAGCTTACATAGGAAATGAATAGATATTGACACAATTTATAAAAGAGAACTTGTGTGTTATTCTCTATGGATATAATCCAGATCAATGTGTCGTGTATATCTGTGCCTTGGCCCAAAGTTAAATGTAAGACCTGCTTGATGCAATAAAAATGAGGTAGGAGTAACTCTCTCCGGATTGGGCCCTTGTCTACTGGAGCCACATATATCCTCCTGTTTGGAAAGAATACTGGCCAGAATGCACCTGCTTATATTATGTCACATACTCCCTGCAAAATAAATCAGAGATGCCACACATCACAACAGACATGTGTTTGCAGGTCTAGAGGCCATCTCTATGTCAGAAAAATGTCATATGTGAAGCATTTATTAGTGGCCTCTGTGCCAAGGCAATCTAAATACATACTACAATAAGATAAAGGGTAACAAGTGGATGGATGATTGATGCAAGTGCAAAAAGCTATCATTATGTTCACCAACACACACAAACAAGGCATGCACACACAGTTGCCCAGTAAATAGGTCTGAGTAACTTTTTAAAACCAAAAACCAAAACATGTAAATTGTAAGCTACACCCACTGAGTAAATATTATTCATCTTCTTAAGAGAAAACCAATTCTACTCTAAAGTCACTTTGATAAAATAGTTGTCATTTATAAGGAAATCCCAGTAGGGAACAAGCATATATATACTCTCAGGGTATATGCAGGGCAAAAAAGGTAAAATGCAAGAGAAGAAATTGGCAGTCCCAGAGAGCAATATTTTGATATCACTTGGAGAAATCTCCCAGGAAAGGCAAAAACCACAGCAAAGCTCGTCTCAATCTTCAGCTGTCACTTTCAAAAGCATTAACACTGCCAATTATACTGGCATTAGCAGACGTATCTGACAAATTTTTGTTTTGTCAAGTTCATATTCGTCACAAAGATGATGCCAGATCCAGTCAGAATGGCAGATACAAAACCTGCAGTCACATCCAGAATGCTTTGCAAGTTGTCTAATAACACATAATTTAAAATGCCTGGGAAAGAAATATGTCAATCAAAGGAAGTGGCACAAATCTCATGCAGTGCAGCAAACAACGCCGTGGGCAAAGCTAAACAATCCCATCACATGTCGCTTTCTCCTTACCTCCAAATTCATATACACAGTGCTAACAGCTACTTTTATTTCTCCATCTGACACCTCTTTTA